GCAGCCCTTGCCTTCGCCAGTCGCGTGGACCAGCCCGTCGCGCGGGCGAACGCGCTGAAGTCCGTTGGGCGTCTTGTTCGGGATGCCGCTGCTGCTGTCAGCAGGTGGCCCTGGCACCTCGGCCAGGTTCTGGCGGTCTCTCATGGGCGCCCTCCGCGTCTAGGATCTGAACCTGAAGCTGGTCTACATCGTGAGTTAGGCCGTCATGGAAGGGGCGGCTAGAGCGGCGCAGTTCAGGGCTCAGGTCTCCGAGCAGCCAGTGCGGGGGAGGGGCCGGAGCGCTCCGCGCGATGTCACGAGGACCTCAAGACTGGCATGGGGACTCCATTGATCCAGAGGTCCCGCACAGACCCCTCAGCCAACATGAGGAGACAGGTAAGGTGCACGCCGCGCGGAGTCACTGGTGGGAGCTAGGAGAAGACGACCCCATCTTGAAGGCCCGAGGATCTTGGAGCCCGCCCTCGGCGCCCGACTGTTGAGGAGGTGCGCAAAATGCCCCAGCCTTTCAACGCCGTGGAGCGGGCTGCCGCGCGGTCCGCCCTCGAAAGCCGCGCGAATAATGCAGCGCGGCGATCGGGTGCCTGATTGACCTCATTGTTGCCGGCGAGGAGCGCGCTGAGCGGCCGCCGCTGGTCACCAAGATTGCGCATCTCACTGAGCGGCCAGGCGCCGCCCGCCCGATCGCGCTGCTGCGCGCGCCGCCGAGGATCAAGCGCGCCTCCAAAGATCGATTGCTCGGGACAGGGAGGTGGGAAGTCATGGGCATTCTTTCTCGGCGCCTCCGGGAAGACTCGCGAGCGCGCGCCGCGGCAGCGAGCTGCGCGGCCCGAGCGGGCCGCGCAGAAAGGTCAAAGGGATCGGTGGGGGCCCGTGGGTTTCGGCGCAGGCCCTCATGGATCTGATGCGAGCGTTCGAACAAATTCAGCGTCGCTGGTGGTTGGGCGCCGCCGTTCGCGCAGGTTTCCGCTGTGGCGGCGGCGTCTTCTGGCCCTCCTGGACAAGACCCCCCGGCGTCTCTCCCTCGGCGCCGTGGTAAGCCACGCGTTGCAAGTCGACCAGGCAATCCTGCCTGGCGAAGGCTGGGCCACCACCTTGTTTGAACCTGGCCCTCATCCAACCGCTCGACCAGGCGTGGTCCATCTGCAGATCGGTGACTTTTGCGGCGGTCGTTGATGATGCCATTCCGCGCGGAATCGGGCCCGCTGGGGCCGTCGCCAGGGAAATCGTTAAGGCTTCGAATGCGCTCGGGAAAATGTCGGGTCGGCTTCAGCTTCGAATCTACGACGAGAGAACTCGCGCGATGATACAGCGCCTTCCAGTCAGGGCCGGAATGGCCGAGCTACCTCGGGAAGCTCGGAGCGGTTCCGGTTCGCCAAGAGAGCAGTCTCGGGATCGAATTCACGCGTGGAAGGCGCGTGCGCAGGCGTGCGCGACAGGATCCTTGGGAGCCGCTCGTGGGAGTCGACCGCATGAGAAAGCTCCTCTGCGGTTCCCGTCAGAGAGTGGTTGCGCAGCCATGTATGGGGGCCAGAGTATCGCACGGGTCGTCGGTCACCGGCACATCTCGGTCGGCGCTGGCTTCTGCGCGCAGCTTGACGTTCGCAGCGGCGTAGCCCCGCGCAGCGGGCAAGTCTTGCACCGTGACGCTGGTGAATGCTGAATGAAGAGACTGGCCTGGTCTGCTGCGGCACCCGTCCCACCCTGCTGGCTCCCGGCAGAAGGCTGCCAGAGTCGTAGTCGTGGGTGCCAGTGGAAGTCGTCGAGCACGGCCTCCTGCAGGCCCTGAAGGTCGAGCGCTGGTCTCAGGTACATGGGGCCCCTTGGGGCCATCATGCTCTCCATGGATAGGATCTCCTGGAGGCGCTTGAAACAGGACGCACAGACTTGAACCATGCCTGAGGGTGCGAGCTTCGATGATCATGAGTGCTCGGCGCGGTACCTACGCAAGCTGCTGCGCATCGGCATCGAAGCCTGGCAGTGGTAGACGGTGGCACGCAATGAAGGCCTCGAGCATCCGTCTGAAGGGGGCTGTGCTATTCCCGATGTTGCGTCTGCTGAGTGGTCCTGGGCCCCAGACGGCCAAGTGCAAGGAGCTAGGTGGCCTCGCTGTCGACCAGCGAGCTTACCTTCGCAGAATGCTGGTCGACGGGCAATGGCCCATGGTCCGAATGTGTGAGCCGGGCTTCGTTTAGAACTCGGGATGTCTCCTGCGTTTTGGGGTCGGGCCCTGGTCCACAGGCACTGCGAATGTCAAGATTGGGGGGGGGGCCAGCCTCCCATGGCCGAGCGAATTAAGTTGATGCTTGACACGCTGCAGCACCCCCAGGTGCAGTGCCTGTTGGAGAAAGCTATGTGGCCACCGCCCTCTATCCCTGCCGACTTCCATGTTCCCAGTGATGAACGTATCACGTGGCAGAAGCACGCGGGCGACGGCATTCTCAAGGCGAGCGAAGTGTTTCTTGACAGCTCGATGATGAAGGCGACTTGGGGCGGGTGAGCTCGGCGGGGTGGGCGAACGTAGATCTGCATCCTGAGGACCCGCTCGGTAAAAGAGAGACGTTGTCCATGGAATGGCGCCTTTTTTTTGCATCATGGTATAAACGGGGCTGAGCTGGATGCCCTAGTGAAGCTGTTGACAATATGTGCACCGCCCACGGTGGCAGCGACGGATGCGAACTTTGTCTGTGACGGCGTCAATGCAGCCAAGGAATGGGGTCCAGTTGCGACCACCGCTCATTGCGGCGCCTGGGTTGGTCTCTGGCGCGTTTCTGGGATGCCCTCCAAGTCTTCGGGGGCCTCGGCCCGCAGAGGCTCCAAGTTCGGAAAGTCAGACCCTATCAGTCCGAGTCCGATGTGGACCGTGGGCTCATCTCACCGTTTTGGCAACTACTGTGCTGATGTCTGGGCGAAGCACGCCGCTTCTAAGTACAGACTGACGTCAGATGCCCACGAGAAGCCTAGCAAGTTTCGAGCTCTGGTCGAAGACTGTGCGCGTTGGATTGCGCGAGTAGGTGCTGCCGCGAATTCACTCGACACCGTCAAGCTGCGTCCTCAGGCCAAGGCTTTGGGCAAGCATGAACTTCTCGGGGCTCCGGGCGCCAAGTGGTGTGTTCGGTGTCGGGTGCCGCAACCATCGGCCTCATAATGTCCTCTAAGTCCGTGGAGCCCGACAGGATGATCCATGAGAGTAGCAAGGTCGGTCACAGGCTGGCGCACTGTCGCAGCCCAGCTGAGATCGACCGACCCAATTCTGCTGTTGTGGCGTGCGTTTCCTGCGAAGCTGCGTCGCCACGGCAACTCAAGTCGCTTCGTCAGCCGTGCAAAAGTCCAAGGGTCCATGGCCAACGAGCCACTCGGGCGAAGGGAGGTTATGCCCCCCAGTTTAAAGGGGAGAAGGTCACGACTACAGTAGTCGCGGCCGAATAGGGTGGTACACAGACGTCTACGCACTCAATCATTGCACCGAGGAGGAGGAAGAGGAGGAGGAAGGGGACGACGCAAGACGACGACGACGCAAGACGACGACGACGACGCAAGACGACGACGCCGACGCAAGACGACGACGACGACGATGACGGCAAACGACGACGACGGAAGACTGAAGACGATGACGACGACGACGACGACGACGGCGACGACGACGACGACGACGACGACGGCGGCGATGGCCCCGCACCGCTCGGGCGCCGCGGCCTCGGGCGCGGGCGGGCCTGGCGACCACCTGGGGAGCAACGAGACAGCCAAACCACAGGATAAGGATGCGCGGCAAGGATGCGAGGACAGTTGAAGGCCATGTTGACATTTTCGAACGAGGCTGGCCAGCGAAAGTCGCCAGGGCTGGGCCGAATGGGCAAGGATGCTCCTCCTTATACTATGCGCTTGGGGGGGGACAGCTCAGCTTGCCATTTGCTCGGACGTCTATTCCCTTTGCCTTGTTTGGTTTCGTGCGCGTTTTTCCCCTCAAGACAGGGCTGAACCTAAACGGTGTGTTTCGTTTTCGTTTCGTTTTCGTTTTCCCTCGCTCTTGTCTCGAATCCGCCTGCACCGCAAAACGACAATCGAAACGACAAACGGCCCACGAAATCACCAAAAACACCGTTTAGGTCCAGCTCTGCCTCAAGACTCAAGACTGCCCAAGATGCTCCAGGGTGGTCCAGATCTTCTGTTCGAGGCCTGGAAATGGGCACCAACACCAACAAAGGGAGTTGCCTCCACAGGGGGGAGATGGTCCCAGATTTCGGCGTTGGTGGTAATACTTCGGTTACCTCGGGAGCCAGAATATTACCACCATCACCGAGATCGGGATCTTCTTTCCTCGGTGGAGGCACACCGCCGATCTTGGTGCTGGTGTCAACCTCTGGGCCTGCGATTCTGGCGCTGGCCTCGCCGAGAGAGAGAGGCACACGTCCGAGGGATGCCAAGTCAGGGGGGGGGGGGACAGCGACCTGGAGGCAGCGCTACGTCGCCGATGCACCGCCGATGGGCCCCCGACAGCAAGTCCAAACTTCCTGGGCCGCCTGGGCTGCCAGGCCCCTGTCGACGATGAATGGGCGGGTGGGGCTCGATGCGTCCCCGCCTGAGCCTAATTATCCCCCCCTATCGTTGCCCCTGACCACCGCAGCCGTTCCGGCTCGTGCTCCGCGGCGCCGAGGGCCAGAGGAAGGAACAAGCGGCACAGACTTGGAGGCGTGGAGATGTGCACCAGCGCCAACACAGGGGGCTGCGTCCACCAGGAAGAGCTGATCCTAGGCTTTGGAGTTGGTGGTAATCTTTAGGCAACCACCGAGATCGGGATCATCTTCCCTCGGTGGAGGCACAACGCCGATATTGGTGCTGGTGTCGGCCTCTAGGCCTCCGATAAACATTTTTCCGCAGCTCCGCGCAGATTTCTCGGATCGTCGCTGGGCCCCACTGGCGGCGCATCCGGCGTCGCCCCTGGCACTCCGAGGACCAGGGCCAGCGCCGATCCAAGAAATCCGTGCGAACCTCCAAAAGTGTGTTTATGGCGAGTTCTCTCCTTCGACGATGGGCAGGATGGGGAAGCAGGCCCCAGACGGCTGCTCCTGCGCTGGCCGGTGCGCACGCGGCTCTGGCGCGGGCTCGTCGACGATGATGTCAGGCTCCTGGGGGGCGTCCAGGAGGGCCGCGAGCGAGGCCGTGCATCGCTCCATGGCCCGCTGGCCCATGTTGCCGCCGCCGAAGCGCATCACGTCGTGGCACAGCACGCAGGGGTCGGTGAGCAGGAAGCCGCCCTCGGCGGTGCGCACCCCCTGCAGGTCGGTGACCATCATGTAGCCCCCCGTGGCCTCGTGCGTGAACTGGGCGAAGCGCATCAGGACCTCTGAGCATCGTCTGACCGATCCCCATCCCCACTTGCGTGGCTTTGGCCCCACTGGGCGGCTTACCCGCCGAGGTGGGGATTTCGGGCTCCGCGGGACCAATCCCCACCCAGGGGGGCGAGCTGGTGGGGCTGAGAAACCACGGCCCGATGAAGATGGGGACAGGCTAGAGGATACTGAACCTCGTCAGCATCTGGCTCCCACCAGCCGAGGTTGTTGGAGAAGCGCCTAAACTCTGCAGCGGGCACCGCCCGCTCCAGGTTGAAGGGCCTGCCGGCGGCCGGCACCGCGACGGGTGCTTCCAGAAACTCGACCCGGGGCCCCGCTGGATTCTGCGCGCTGAACTCGCGGGCCAGGAAGGCGGCCACGGCGCTCGCCTCGCTCAGCGCCAGCATCTCCTCCAGCAGCCACTCGCCCTCCTCGCCGTCGGGCGCCCCGGCCTCCTCCTTTATGAACTTCGCCACGTAGGCCTCTCGCCCGTCCATGAGGGCATGGTGTGCCGCGCGGGTCTCGCCCTGCGAGAACGGGCGCACCCCGACCTTGATGTCGGCGGCGCCTACCTCGAATCTCCTCGTCAGGCTGGCGGGTGCGCTCCGGTGCAGGTCGGCGACGGAGCTCACCTGCAGGCAGCGGTGCAACTGGACGCCCCGCACCCCCAGCTCCTGCCAGCAAGGCACCTCGTCGCAAACCTCCACCCGGCGCGCCGCACGGAGACTGGTGGAGAGCGCCGACACTGTCGATGCCACGGAGGCGTGCAGGCTGGCCGTGACCGCCTCCGCCACCAGGCGGGTGTCGCGCATCTCCCGGGTCTGGATGTACTCCTCCCCTACCTGAGACGAGGCGAGGACATGCGAGGACCAGGACACAGTCCGAGCAGGACAAATCGGGGATCTCCGAGATCTGGCGGCTCTGGAGGATGCATCGGGCGCCGCGGCTGCTCCAGAGCGCTCCAGAAAGCGCTGGGGGACGCGTTGGGATGAACATTTGACGTCAAACGAGTATCTAACGTTCAAGAAGTATTTCACGCTGAGTGATTCGTTGCATTGGAAGGACCGTTTGGCATTAAATTAATATTTAACATTCGATTAATGTCCAATGTGAAGCGAGCATGTGAGATCAAATAATCATATAATGTTGAGTGCGTATTTAGAATCAACCTAGTACTTTGATTGGAACGCTTTGGCATCCTTCCTCGAAAGCAAGAGCAAGTTGTCCCCACGACGTGATGACCCCCCAGACCCCCCAGTAGTAATGTTGACACCAGAACTGGCGACTGCATCTATTCTGTTGACCCTGCGGGCCGCGCTGCGCGCGTCCATCGACATTTAAATTCGGGGGCGAGGGGGTTGGATACAAACTTGCGCTTGATTTCGAAGAGAATTATAGCACCACCCGGCCACCTCCTCGTTGAAGAGGCGCACCATCAGGTCGGTGGAACCGTTGATGCGCCCGAAGACGTACTGCACGGTCTTCTCCTGGAGTGCGCGCAGCAGCTGCTGGGGCCTCAAGCCGGCGGGGTCCCCGTCCGGGAAGTTGTCCTTTGGGTGGCCACATCCGAAACCTATCCCCACCAACCATCAATTCTCCTGAATCGATGGGAGGCAGGGGTAGGGTTCGAATTTCACTGCGTGTTCGACGATTTTCGAACCCTACCGCCGCCGCCCATCGAGTTGCCCGACTCATCGATCGGCGAGGGTAAGGTTCGGATTTCGCCGCCGATCCTTGTACGTGAAGGCCTCCCGGTCCTGGTAGCGGTGACCGTGGCAGGGCGCGTCGCCGATGTGGATCAGCACCCGCGTCGCCGCCCCTCCGATACTAAAAGCAGAAACAAAAACGGCACAAACGTAAACTTTCGGAGCTCCACGCGGGTTTCTGGGGGTCGGCGCAAGACCCCCCTCCCTGGCGCGCGGAGCGCGCCCTCCGGCGCCGCCAAGGGAGTCCAGCGCCGATCCCAGGAAATCCATCCGAAACGCCGAAAGTTTGCCTCTGTTTGGCGGCGCGCACAAATGGGTCGGGGGAGGGGGGGAGGCGTCTTGGCGCCGGCCCTGCATCTGCAGGCAAGGCCCGCGCCTTCCAAGAGGCAGGGGTGCTTCCAGGAGGCCTTCCCCCTTCCCCCTCATCCCCCTCTCTGCGCAAGGCTGGTGTATGCCACTGTTCCTCCTTCGAGATGCCCCACTCCAGGCGCGAGGCGGCCTCGAGGCCGCCGAGGACGTCCTCGGGCACGTCCCCGCCGCAGCCGTGCGCGCCGACGCCGCCCAAGAAGGCGCGGAAGTCCACCACTGCCGTGGTGAACGGCAGCACGTCGAGGCGGTCCGCGTCGCCGTGGTCGCGGTACCCGACGATCGGGGGCGACGATGGGGGCGGGGGCATCGGGGATGGACCGAACCCCCTTCAGTAAAACGTGGTTTCAAGAAACCGACCTCGGGCCCAAACCTGGCGGGCGCAAGCCTTGAAAATAACGGCCGCGGCGCCCTCTCGAGAACCGAAAAGGAACAATTCACTCATCGACGTGTCAGGGTGGGGGTTCTGTCCACCCCCGAAAGCAATACATGTATCCATCGGCGCCAAGGTCTATGGCTTCGGCGAGGCTCCCTGGCGAACGCGCGCAATGCCCGACCCTGGGCTAATTCACTCCCATCGTCGCCTCCGAGACGAAGGCGACGTGCAGCTGCATGGACGGGAGGCGCACCTGCCGAAAATATGATCGAGAAGGCTATGAGTCGAGAAGCCTGGGCCAGCTTATGAAGTTTCTTGGAACAGACCTGGAACAACCTATTGTTGACGCTGGAGGGGCGAGAGTGCTTTAGGAAACGGGCCAGCTTTCCAGCAAATCGATGAAGAAACGCAGGCCTGGCATTGCGGGAGGACGTCTGTTCATCACATGCTCGACGGTAGAAGAACAACCAATGGCATCAACATGAAGTTTCGGAGGTCTGCGTGGATTCGTTGGATCGGCGCTGGGCCCCCCTGGCAGCGCCTCCAGCGCCGCCCCCGGCGCGCTCCCCGCCCCATGGAGGGGGGCCCACGCCGATCCAAGAAATCCGAGCGGATCTTCGAAAGTAGCCTTCTCTTCTTCGAGCACCGACATCTCCCGCACGATGCGGAGGATCTGGTTCTTGACGGCGGCGATGAGGCGGGTGCCAAAAACCCTGACCCCAACAATGTTGCCATCTCGTGTGAGCGCATCTTCCATTTCCGCAGGCTTCCGCCGGCATTCCGCCAGCTTCCGCCCGCGGAACCGCCCCCGCTTTGCTTTCGCCGCCTTCCACCAGGGAAGGAAGCGCCGACTCCTTCGACCCTCGAAGGCGGGGCCCGCTCCGGCACCCGCCCATGTGGCGGCGCATGGAGCCCGTGCAGTCGACCAGGAAGCAGGCGTTCAGCCGCTCGGCGCGCTCGTGGACGTCGAGCACGGCGTCTATCCTGGGGGGGCCCAACTATCTACACCACCACCGCCTCCCTCCCCACCTCCCTCCCGCTAGAAAGGAGGAGAGGGGAGGCATCGACGTGGTGGTGGTGTTATACTCTCTTTGGCCCCCCCCGTCCGCGCCCCCCTGCGCTCGGCCTCCGCGCGCGCCCCTGCGGCCCCGCCGCGCGCAGCGGCCCCCGAGGGCGCCTCCGCGGCCCCGCCGCGGGCGGGCGCGAGGTCGCGCCGCCGACACGGCCGCGCCCCGCCGGCGAAGCGCACGACCGCGGTATCGCTGACGGCGTCGGCGCGCACCACCTCTGACGGGGGCCACGGAAGCCTCGCGGGTGGGGTCCGAGCGGGTGGAGCCGGAGGAGCGCGCCACGTCGCCGCTGCATCGCCGGTGCATCGGCGGTGCATCGGCGGCGCAGGCAGTGCATCGGCGCCGTCGGCATGGAGAAGATCCGGCTCCCACACCGAGCCGCACTGCAGGTGCGGCGCGATCCTCCGACCCCATCCACTCCGACCCCATCTCGGAGTCCTGAAGACAAGAGGGCACGGTAAGGACAGTGGTTAAGGAAACGCTCGATAAGGAGCTCAAATTCTGGAAGCTGGTGGAACACCATTTGAGGCCTGGCCATGAATATCACCGCCGCCTTCATCAATGAGGAACCCCTGGGATCTGCAACCTCCTGAGCACATTCCTTCACGAACGTATGGGCACAAACACACACACACACACACACCGGGATCTGCAGCACTCCTGGGCACACACCTCCTGGTGGCCATCGTGGATGGCCCAAGAGGTTGTCCTAGATTCGCCCACCGTTTGGTTTTCTTAGTGCTGCCCTGAGCAAGCAAAGCAGGACCGCACGGGAAACGACCCAAACGCCCCCAGCGTTCCCATGCCCCTGCTCCCCGGACCCCTCCTGGGGTACGCTCTGGCCAGACTTTCGAGGCGACTCCAGCCGTGGCGACGCGGGCCTCCCAGCAGGGCGCAGACGAGGCAAGGGCAGCGGCATTGGTACCCTTTCCTCCAATGAATCGGGCACCAACCAGAGCACACCTGCACCGATCCTGCCTGGGCCGATCCTGGGCCCAGGATCGGTGTATGTGGCTTCCTGCCCAGGCCAGGAGGGCGTGCGGTCGGGAACTTCTGCTCTGCGTGACGCGGCGGCGGCCCCTCGCGACACGCGATGCATTGCGAGCGGATGGCGTGCTGCTCCGCTCCGCGGGGCGGGAGGCCGGGAAAAGAGCTCGGCACGTGGACGCCCGGGGAGCGCCAAACGGATGGCGTGTCGCGCCGAGGCGTGACGGGCCCAAACCCAGCGGAGCGACACGCTGAGCCAACGTTCCCGGCCGTATACACCGACCCAAAGGCCCAGGAGGAGCGTGGCCTGGCCAGGATCAGCATGCGAAACACATTTCGGACTCTGGGCTGCCTGTGGTTGGGTCAGGGGGGCGTGCACAAACCCCCGACCGCCATTCATCACCGACGGAGGTCCAATAGCCCCACGCCGCCAAGGAATGCGCGGTCTCGCTATCGGTGGCTCATCGCCGATCTATCGGCGATGTATTGTCGATTCCAGGTCGATGTTTCCCCCCCCCCGGTGTGACAGCAGCCGAAAAATGACAAAGAAAACGAGCATGAAAGAAATCTGGGCCAGCTTCACTGAAGCGTCTTGAAACAAGCTCGGGCAACTTTCTGTTGGTAACGCTGGAGGGGCGAAAAGCGCTCAAGAAACTAGGCCAGCGTTTCAGCAAGTTGGCGAAGAAGTGCTAGCCCAACTTTTCGGGAGGAGATCTCTTACTAAAGAGATGCTCGACTGTACTTGTGAGGGGCAACGGTCGGGGGGACTGGCAAATGGGGGGGAAACATCGACGTGGAATCGGCGATACATCGCCGATAGATCGGCGGTAGGCCCCCGATAGCAAATCCGCACGTTCCTGGGCGGGGTAGGGCTATCAGACCCCGATTAGCGACCAATGGGCGATCGGGGGTCGATGCATCACCACTATGCGGCGGCAAGCGAGGGGGGGAAGCGAGAAGGGAAGCGAGAAGGGGCGGGCCTTTTCGAATGGCACAGACGTCCCATGGCCTTCCGAAAGGTTGTCTATGCCTTCCTCGAAGACACAGATATCAGTCAGCGTTGACTCCAAATAGATATGAGGACAGGAGGAGGACGAGAGGAGGATGGGAGGAGGACGAAAGGAGGACGGGAGCAGGACGGGATGAGCAAACTCAAGCAAGCGGAAGCAAGCAAGCGCAAGCGAGCAATAACAAGTAAGCAAGAGCCAGCGATCAAGTGCAAGCAAGCAAGGGCAAGCAAGAGCAAGCAAGAGCAAGCAAGCGAGAGCAAGCACGCACGAGCAAGCAAACAAGTGCCATTGGAAAAGGGGGGGGCATTGGAAAAGAGGGGGGCATTGGAAAAAGGGGGGGGTCCTAAAGACCAATTACTTATGATGAGCTAGGACTCCTACAGGGCAAGCCTACTTGGAGAAAGATTTCTCAGAAGCCCTCCTGCCGCCTTCTGAGAAGGCCTTCTCCTTCTCCCTTCCGCCCCTCGCTCGTCGCCGACGTATGCCTGCCCCCCCTTACCGTTGCCCCTGGAGTTGGCGCCCACGGAACCTCCCCGACGGGCGCAGGCGAATCGCCGCAGGCCGTCCACAGCACGCGCGAGCCAGCCTCGAAGGCGTGCGCGTGCGCCGCCAGCTCGCACCGCCGCACGTGCGCGCCGCACGCGCGGCACTCGTGGTGGGCGAGGGCGCACTCCGCCCGGCAGTGCTCGAGCAGCGAGCCTGAGGGGTGAGAAAGACGATCGTCGTGCTTGGAGGAGGGGGTTGGGAAGATACGCGGCGCGACTGTATGAGAAGCACCTTCAGCATACACGGTAGTATGGAGGATGTGATAATTCCTCCCAGCCCAATGCTCCCAACCCAAACGCTGTCTTTCTGAAGGGGGGTCGGGCACTATGGCATGGTGCATCCGGGTTCCCGGACGTGCTCGCGTCGTGACAAAATCACGACGGGAGACTTATGGCCGTTTTCGGCCTCTGGGGGCACTCGCTGGGCCCCCGGACCGTCAAAGAATTCTGCTCGGGATGAAAAGTCGGTCGTGGGGAAAGGGTCGGGACGTCTGGGGGCCTCCTATGGAAGAAACAAGAGTTCGCATGTCTGGGTTAGCATGTGCACGGAGATTTGTGGCCGCTACCGCTCGCTGTCTGCCTTGCCGCTGTCTTGCTCCTAACCCTTGAGCTCTTGCGTGGCACTGCCGTGGACACCGCGGGACCATCTTCTCCCAGGAAAGTGCGAGGCCAGACGACGAGGAAGAGGAGAAGGAAGAGGAGGAGGAGGAGGAGGGGGAGGAGGAAGAGGCGCTTCCTGAGGGGTCCAACCTGGTGCAAACCTGAATTGCACTACGCGTAGGGAATTGAAGCCGACCCTGCCAGGGAAGGAGGCCTGGAACCTCCTCGCGCCCCACGGAAGCCTAAACCTCCAGCGCCTCCTCGCAATCCTCGCCCTCCACCCTCCACTCCGTCTCCTTATAAATAACTTCTGCCTGTCGCAGCTCGAGGCCAATCGGAAAAGCGCGGGCCCGGCGTTTCGCCTGAGACTTCTTCGCCATTTAGCTTAAGAGTTGATCACCGTTTCACACATGGAGGGCGGTCCGTTTTCAAAATGGGACTGTCGCCTTAGCGCCGCGAGCATCTGCTTACATAAACATTTGCAAGAGCTTCACATATGGAGAACGGTCCAGTTTCTCGCTTTAGCACATTCGTCTCAAAAGATGCAAGGGTTTCAAGGATTGAAGGCGGCCCGTGTTCAACATGTGCCTTTCGCCTTGGCGCCGCGCGCACTCGTCTTGCAAAGTTGCAAGAGCTTCACTGATATAGGGTGGTTATGTTTCAAAGGGTGGTTCTCGCGTTAGCGCTGCGCACATTCGTTTTCAAATGGTGTAAAAAGTTTTGTGGATTATCATGGGTAACTAACTTCCCATATATGGTGTTTTGGAGAAATTGAAAGCAGTCAGGGCGCAACAGTTAGGTTGATTCACGGTGTTGAAGTCCCAGGATTGGCGTTCTGACACGATTCAGGATTGCCAAGACGCAGCAATAGGGTCGATTCGTGACGTTGAAATCCAAAGAATGGTGCTCTGTCTGGCACGGTTCAGGATTTTCACGCGGTTGTCGTCCAACGGGGCACATCCCTCGGTGGAAATGAATCCTTGCAGGGGCCCATGAAGAGGGAGCTTGGAGGGAGGGTTTATTGCAACATCGTGGATGAGGCTTGGGTTTGCACTGGTCCTCCTCCCTCCTCCTCGCCCTCCTCCTCCTCGCCCTCCTCCTCCTCCTCCTCCTCCTCCCCTACTTGTGGGGTTGCACGGGTGGCGTTTGTGACTAGTGGGTCCGTCGCGGTTGAAGGGTACGGGGCCTGTTGCGGTTGGATTTCGCTGGCTCGACAGGAACATATTCATTTCTTGAAGATATCTAAATACATGCTTTGTTCGGCGCATTCGAAAGTGATTCCTTTTGCGAAAAAAAAGAGCACCGTAGCCAAACAACATTTGTTGCTCCTTCTTGCCGAGGCGACGACGACGCATTTTCAGGGCAACGCGGCAGCGATGACGAAAACAAGCGATAGAGGTTGGCATAAATCGCAGGCCAAACCATCGCAGCCAGCAGTGCAGTACATGCTGGATCCGGGTAAAACTGATTGGGTTTTAACTGATGGCTAAGGGCTAAGGTGCTCTTTTTTCGCAACGAAATCACTTTCGAATGCGCCGAGTAGAGCATATCGTTTAACATTTAGAAAGAACAATAATATCCCTCTCGAGGCAACGAAACCCAACCGCAACAAGCCCCAGACCCTTCAACCGCGACGGACCCACTAGTCACAAACGCCATCCGTGCAAATCGAGCGTTTTACCAGCCACGGACCCGCGGGCCCAAGCGCGGGGAGGGGAGGGGGGGGGGGGCCCACGACCCATGGGGCCCATGGGCCCGCCCAGCGATCCAACCGCGACCATCGACTCAAGAAAGTGCGCCGACGTTCGACAATTCACGCTTGCGCTTTCATTGCTAAAACTGGAATTCGCGCACGAGAAAGCGATGGGAGAAGGAGTGGCGGGCGGGGCCTCGAGACTCGCCTGGGGCCTAAGGGCCAGCCGTCGGGGGACCGGGGGCGAGAGAGGAGAGGAGGGCGGGGAGAGAACGAGCGAGGCGGAAGACGGGAGGAGGGGGGGGGGCCCTGGGCGGCCCAGGCGCGGGGTCGGCGACCGTCGGTGGGGGAAAACACACGCCGCACAAGAAAGTGTAGGGCGGAGGGTCCCGGAGGGCAGAAGAGAAGAGGAAGAAGGACAGGGGGGGGCTAGATTGAGGGGCTGTCGAATGCTGCGAAGCCTGGCCCGGCCCGGCCCCTTGCACCTTGGAAAATCCCTGGACCCTGGGGCCCTGGCCCCTGGCCCTGGCCCCTGACACTGCGCCCAGGGCCAGGGAGCGGCCAGAGTGACTTTCAACCTTAGATCTTGTGGCGGCGAATTTTCATCTTCCAATCGCGTTCAGCATGCAGAACTGGCGCGCGGCGGGCTGGGGGCTGGGCTGCACTGCAGAGCGCTGGCACTGTGGCGCAGCGCAGCAGCAGACAGCAGACAGGATGAGGAGGAGGAGGAAGAGGAGGAGGAGGAGGCTTGCCTGGGGGATGAATGTCAGGAGGATGATCGGATGATGTCCTCCTGAGTCCTGAGGTGGACGGCGGGAGGCCCTTCAGCCTGAGGCCGCGTGGGGGGGGGGGGAGTCCGGGAGTCCGCAACCCATCGCCCGTGCAAACGTGCAAAAAAAGAATGGCCCTGGCCGCTGGCCGCCCGCCGGGCCCCTGGACCAAGCCGGGCCGGGCCGGGCCAGGCCGGGCCAGGCGACTCCTGCAGACCTGGGACCCTGGGACTGGTGACTGGACGGACCTGGCTTAGCTTGGGACATGGGGAGCTGGGACTGGACGCCGGCTCTGGGAACTGGGACCAGATGGGACCTGGGACTCTGGGACCCCTGGTACTCCTGGGCTCCTGGAACTCGCCGGGCCGCCGGGCCGCCCTTCATCTCTTCTTGCTGCTCATGATGTCGCTAAGCGTCTGCTGGCGCTTCGGCTGCGCCGCCTTTGCGGGGCTGCGGAGCTGCCTCCTCCCTCCCCCTCCTCCCCCTCCCTCCCTCAGCCTCCCTCCCCTCCTCCCCCCCTCCTCCCTCCTCCTTCTCCTCCGACTCGCTC